AGAAAGAAAGAAAGAAAGAAAGAAAGAAAGAAAGAAAGAAAGAAAGAGATGAGAAGAATCATGCTGAGTCAGTTTCTGCCCCATCCTTGGCATGTCTTCATAGAAATCAGTTCCCATGAACACATGAAGCTGCCTGCCTACTACTGAACGAGTTCATTGGTCCATCAAAGTCAGTATTGTCTACTCAGACCAGCAGCAGCTTTCCAGAGTCTCAGGTGGAGGTCTTTCTTATCACCGACCCACCCCAACCCTTCCAACTGGAGTTGTTGGGGATTGAACTTGGGACCTTCTGCATGCTAAGCAGATGCTCTGCCACTGGCCCATAGCCTCTACCCAACCAAAATGGACACAGGTTTGAAGGTGGCCTTCTACTGCATCAGACCAACAAGGTCAATATTGTCTATCCAGACAGGCAGCAGCTCTCCAGGGTCTTCCCCATCACCTGCCGCCAGATCTTTTAAATGGAGACGCCGGGGATTGAACCTGGGACCATCTGCATGCCAAGCAGATGCTCTGCCACGGAGCCACAGCCTCTTCCCCTAGGGTCTTTTCCCCCATGGATTTCACCGGGGCTTATCCACATAACATAGAAGCATTTTAAAAATTGTTCTCATGTTTCGACGGTTAACGGCATTGGGGTGCTGAACTGGGTGGAAAGGTGGTGTGACACATTTCAGTATAATAAATAAATGAATATAGGGGCAGCAAAATTAGATGGTGACCAGTGTTCCCTCTAAGCTGAGTTAGTGCGATCTAGCTCACAGTTTTTTAGCCTCCGGCTCACACATTTTTGCCTTAGCTCAGGAAGGAGGGCTCCAGAGCAAACTAATTGATGCAGTAGCCAAATCACTCGCTCACAACATGAATGCCAGTCGCTCACAAAGTAGAATATTTGCTCACAGGACTCCACAGCTTAGAGGGAGCATTGATGGTGACATTCCAAGTCCCTAGAACAGGATGTACCACTTCAAACTGGGAGGGGAAAGTCACATTTCTTATTGCTCTGGCATATATATTTTTTTAAAAAACCTGCCTTGCAGGCTATATATATTAGCACAGCAAGGAGACCAGCTCTTCACATGCCGTGCTAGTTTTTGGTGGGGAATTATTCATGTGGAAGAAGGTTGGGAAATGTACATGAGAACATAAGGAGATCTCCGCTGGCTCAGGCCAGTGGTCCATCTAGTCCAGCATCCTGTCTCGCACGGTGGCCAACCAGTCCCTCTGGAGGGCCACAATGGAGCAGAGAGGCCGAGGCCTTCCCCTGATGTTGCCTCCTGGCTCTGGGATTCAGAGGATTAGTGCCTCTGAATGTGGAGGTTTCCCTCAGTCACCATGGCCAGTAGCCACTGACGGACTTCTCCTCCATGAATCTATCTGATCTCCTTTTAAAGCTGTTCCTTTCTGCGGCCATCACTACGTCCTCTGGCTGAAAATCCCACTCTCTGCGTAAACAGATATTTCCTTTTGTCCAACCTCAACCTACTGGCCGTCAGCTTCATTGGATGCCCTCAAGGTCTAGTATTTTGGGAGAGAGATAAAAAGTTCTCCTGGCCTCCAACCCATGCGTAATTTTATAAATCTCTATTACGTCCAATGTTCCCTCTAAGCTGAGTGAGTGTGAGCCAGCTCACAGTTTTTTAACCTCCGGCTCACACTTTTTTGTCCTGGCTCGGGGAAGGAGGGCTCCAGAGCAAACTAATTTGTACAGTAGCCAAATTGCTCGCTCACCACTTTAAGGCCAGTAGCTCACAAAGTAGAATTTTTGCTCACAGGACTCCACAGCTTAGAGGGAACATACCCCTTAGTCATCTCTTTTCTAAACTGAAAAGTCCCCGACTCTTCGGCCTTTCCTCATAGGGAAGGTGTAACCCCTCCCGTGGAAGCTGTCATGGTAGCTGTCCAGTCTACCCCGCCTTCTGCTCTGTGTCTTGGTCAAGTATGTCATCCGACAGCCCTGATTCTCTTTCCTGAGGACCAGAGTGGTACAGTGCTGAGACGTGGGCCCCCAACTTGGTTCTTGTGTGAGTGTCATCCACACTTTTCTTGGTGGCCACCAAGTGTTTTTAGAAAGTGGGTGTGCAACGAAGGACACTTGCCTAGCAGAGCTTTTGATTGGCCATTGGAGCGCTGTCTGCCTGTGTAGATTTAAATAATGCAAATTGCTGTGGCAGTTGCCACACCGCAGGGTTGGTTTTATTCTCTCTCCTCTTTCCCAATGTAATTTAAAAAAAATTCCCCTTGTCCCGTGTACTTGGGCCTCCACCGTTATGTAGCTCCACCAGTGTGTGGCTCCACCATTCACTTGGGCCTCCACCGGGCTCTGTCTCTTGGGGCACCCACTATCTTGTCTGGCTGGGAATCGGTTAAATATTTTAATCCAGGGGTGTCAAACTTAAGGCCCGCGGGCCAGCCCTGGCCCATCCTGGGCTCTTATGCAGCCCGCGAGCAACTGGTGCAAGGGAGGGAACAGGAGACTTCTCGGGGGGGAGCAGGGGGAGTAAGTCCACTCGTGGCTGCAGCAGGGTGGAACAGCTTTGTCTACAGCAGTCAAGCAGCGTGGGAGCGTCTGCCCAGGGCTGCATTGCTGGCTCTCCAGGTGGGTTTTCCTTTGCACCCCCCTCCCAGCCCACGAGGCCTTGCAGTGAGTACACAGCAACTCGGAGCTTACCAGCTGCTGCCCTTTATACAGTCTATATCTCCAGTACCCGGCATTACATTTTATGGCACGCGTGGCCCGGTCCGACAAAGCGACATTTAGGTCAGATCCGGCCCTCGTAACAAATGAGCTTGACGCCTCTGTTTTCATCGATCGTCTGCTTAGGAATCAGTTTAAACACCACAGCACCAAAACCTCCTTATACATCAATATACAGTAGGGTTGCCAGCTTCAAGTTGGGAAATACCTGGAAATTACGGGGGGCGGAGCCTGCGGAGGGCGGAGCTTGGGGAGGGGAGGGGCTTCAGTGCGGTATAAGGCTATAGAGTCTACCTTCCAGGGTGGTCATTTTCTCCAGGTGAACTGATCTCTGTCACCTGGAGATCAGTTGGGAATAGTGGGAGTTCTCCAGCCATCCTAACATACACACACACATAGAGAGAGGGAGGGAGAGACAGAAAGAGAGAGAGAGAGAGAGACAGAGACAGGAGGGGGTTGGACTAGATGGCCTATTGGGCCCCTTCTGTTCCAACACTACAACTCAAACACTTCTTGTTACAGGGAAAGACCCACATTGTTGTTTTCATTCCCCGTTACACCCAAAAAAAACCCAAAAAACCCATCTGAAAAGAACCCACCAAAGGTCATTTCGGGGGGGAACGCGGGGGAACGCAGTTCCCCCAAGTGAGGTGCAGGGGGGCGGGGCACATGACGAAGCCCCACCCCCTGCTTCCGGCTGCCCCGCTTCCAGCCCTCATTCAGCCAGGAGGAGGCAGGAGAAGAGGGAGGGTAAGTTGCTTCCTCCCCGCCTCTCCCCACCCCTGCCTGCCTGGGGCCAGGCAGGGCCTTGGCGGGGCTTCCTTGCACTCCCGCTGGCCTTGCAGGTCCACTGCCGGGTCCCTGATGTCAGGGGGTGTGGCATATGCTAATGAGTTATGCTAATGAGTTCCCCTAGCTCTTTTTCTACGAAATGACCCCTGGAACCCATATCTGCCTTAGAACAACATGGGATCAATGCTAAGCGGGTCTTGGCGTGCGGAAGGTCCCAGGTTCAATCCCCGGTGTCTCCAGCTAAAAGGACCAGGCAGGAGGTGATGTGAAAGGCCTCAGCCTGAGACCTTGGAGAGCTTCTGCCAGTCTGAGTAGACAAGACTGACCCGGATGGACCAAGGGTCTGATTCGGTATAAGGCAAATTTGTGTGTTTCGATTTGGGCTTGTGAACTAAAAAGGCGGAGAACCACTGACTTATAGTATACTGTCTAGCATGCTAAACGAGGAATGCTTGACCATTAGTATTAGGGTTGTGGCCAGTTTTCCCTCTAAGCTGAGTTGGTGTGAGCTAGCTCACCGTTTTTTAGCTTCCGGCTCACACATTTTTGTCTTAGTTCAGGAAGGAGGGCTCCAGAGCAAACTGATTGATGCAGTAGCCAAATCGCTCGCTCACAACTTTAATGCCAGTAGCTCCCAAAGCAGAATTTTTGCTCACAAGACTCCACAGCTTAGAGGGAACACTGGTTGCGACCTCTGTGTTGGGAAACTCCCGGATATTTGGGGGTGGAGCCCAAAGAGGGCGGGGTTTGAGGAGGGGAGGGACCTCAGCAAGGTATCATGCCACCGAGTCTGCCCTCCAAAGCAGCCATTTCCTCCAGGAGAACTGAACTCCATCAAGGGGGTGGAGTTTGGCTCAGTGGAAGAGCTCCCGCTCAGCATGCAGAAGGTCCCAGGTTCAATCCCCGGCATCTTCAGCTAAAACTGATCCAGGCAGTAGGTGATGGGAAAGACCTCCGCTTGAGACCCTAGAGAGCAGCTGCCAGTCTGAGTTGGAAAGACTTTGATGGACCGAGGGTCTGATTCAGTAGAAGGCAGCTTAATGTATAAGGGTTGGTATAGAAGAGACCAGTTGTAATTCCTGGAGGTCTCCAGGTCCCACCTGGAGTTTATGCAAAAGTATATAGCACTGTGTATAATAGATGTATGTTCAAGGTAGATCAATTTTGTGCTTTTTCTTTTTTCATTTTTCTATGCTATTATATACAGGGGTCATTTCCTGCAGGAGCGCACAGGAGCGGAGCTCCGGCAGTAAAGAGCCCAGGGGGCGGGCACATGCAACAAGCCCTGCCCCCTGCTCCCAGCAGCCCTCAGTCAGAGCAAGAAGCAGCCAGGTAAGCTGCAGAGCCCCTCCCAGCCCCCTGGTCCAAAACATTCCAGTGGCACCTTTAAGACCAAGTTTTATTCAGGTACGAGCTCTCCCTCCTCTGCGAGGACAGATCTGCACGTTCCCCCCCCCCTTCCAATAGCTAGCAATCCAAAACAGTCCAGTGGAGCCTGAGCAGTGGGTGTTGCCTTCTGACACACTTCCGGTGATGTCAGGGGGTGTGGCATATGCAAATAAGTTGTGCTAATGAGTTATGCTAATGAGCTCCTGCACCTCTTTTTCTACTAAATGACCCCTGATTATCTAAATATTGGTGTCAAGTTTTATATATATATATATATATATATATATATATATATATATATATATATATCAAAAAACAAAATACTGTATTCAAAACGGGTACATTACTAGAGTCCCGTGGAATTAGTGATTGTGTTACGGACAAGGTGCCGTCTGAATATTTGAACAGAATGTAAACCTGCACTCTGATGTTTTGTTTGGGTGAAACCTATTCTTGGTCACATTTGACACTAGTATTTATATAACAGTATAGAAAAAGAAAAAGAAGAAAAAGAAAAAGCACAACGTTGATCTACCTTGAACAGACATCTGTTCTAGGCAAAGGTTTCCCTTGCTCGAAAGCCAGTCGAATCCGACTCTAGGGATGCGGTGCTCATCTCCGTTTCCAAGCCAAAGAGCCAGCGCTGTCCGAAGACGTTTCCATGGTCATGTGGCCGGTATGACTACATGCCGAGGCACACAGAATGCTGTTACCTTCCCACCGAAGTGGTACCTATTTATCTACTTGCAATTTCTCGCTTTCGAACGGCTCGGTTGGCAGGAACTGGGGCCAGAGATGGGAGCTCACTCCGTCACACAGCACTCGGGTCTCGAACTACTGAACTACCGACCTTCCGGTCTGCAGTTCAGCGTCTTAACCCCTTGAGCCACCGCAGCCCATTCATCTCTTACACACGGTGCTATATACTTTTGCATATCTTCCTAACACTGTGACCCTCCGTTTTTGTATTTCCCACCAGGAAGTTGGCAAACCTAATTTACCATCCACTGCATCTCTCTCTCTCTCTCTCTCATGTGTTATTTCATACATATGAATACTATGAAACACTTAGAAGATTTTGAGCACATGTCTTGAAACCGACCAATAGACAGTATCTGTAAAACTCACGCTTTTGCTTCCAGCCTTACCGTCTAAGGACGCCTCCGAGGAGCGAGGCGTTCAAACATTCGGGCGGAGAGAGGCGCCGTTGAACTTCCCCCACCGTCACTTTGTACTTGGACGTGGAACTGAGCAGGGACAGGCGCCCTGGGACCGAGCAGAACACTTCTCCCGTGTTCACCGACATGCCTCCCAGGAAGCCATCTTTGTTCATCATCAGGGAAGTAACGGATTTCGGAGGAACCGGAACTGGAGAGACAGAAAAGTGTAGCGGAGAGAAGGTTGACCATTTGTGCTCTTTTACTCGTTTTTGTTCATACCCCGGGGACCCAAGCGTGACATCATTCCCCTCTCTCCCATTTTCTCCTCGCAACAACCCTGTGAGGTGGCTTAGGTTGAGAGAGCGTGACTGGCCCAAGGTCACCCAGCAAGCTTCAATGGCAATGTGGCAATTCAAACCTGGGTCTCCTGGATAACAGTCTGATCCACTATACCACTCCGACTCTGTTAAATACCAGGTTCTGGACACATTGCAGCGATCGGCTCTAGTTTATTTAGTGATTTCAGGAACACAACAAGGAGACCCAACAGGGTTTGAGCATGCAAACACCACACCCCACACAAACACACTCCCAGGGATAGGCTATTTACATTACACTGCTTATCTATAGGTCAATTCCAGGATCCTGGTCAGCTATTGTTCTTGGGGAGCAAGCTCGCCCAGTTCAAGGTCCACATTCAGAGATGGCTCAGGCTCAATACATAACAGACTGTCAATGAAAGTATGTGCTATTATTCCTCTCTAAATCAGACACTGGCAAACCCCAAGGCAGCATACAGACCCTCAGTCTTGTTTCTGCTGATGCATGTCAGCTTTCCTAACATGGTCCTGATCAGTGTTCCCTCTAAGATGAGTTAGTGTGAGCTAGCTCACAATTTTTTGGCCTCTGGCTCACACATTTTTGTCTTAGCTCAGGAAGGATGGCACCAGAGCAAACTAATTTATGCAGTAGCCAAATCGCTAGCTCACAACTTTAATGCCAATAGCCCACAAAGTAAAAATTTTGCTCACAAGACTTCACAGCTTAGAGGGAACATTGGTCCTGATGCAATCCCACCCTTGAAGCGAAGGGTGGCTTCTATTCCCCACCATCACCATGATAGAGGAATAACAGAGCTCCGGAGAATTCCCAGGAGAGGCATCAGACTTTAGAGACATGTACAGCCCGGTACTACCCAGGATGGCTCAGAAGGAAATTCCCCCAATGGCTTCCCAAGTTCAGCCTCTCTGCAGACGGTTGTATGGGGAGTCTATCAAAGGGCTGCTTCTTAGATCATCTCGGTACTTTAGCGGCCACTTCCTCATGGCTAGACCCAGTTTTATATTGGCAACAGATGAAACAGAAAGAACCAATCCAATTCCAACCTTACCTCAGAGGTGTGGGAGCTAATTACGGGTTATCCTTTTCCTGGTGGTTCTGCCACAAGAGACCTCCCGAGTCGAATAGGACCGTCCATGACACAGATGTGGTCCCCTTTCAGAACTGCTTTTCGATCTTTATATATGTATATATGGTGCTGTCAAGAGAGCCAGTCTGGTGTCGTGGTTACGAGCGCGGACTCTAATCTGGGCGAACCAAGTCGGATTCCCCACTCCTCCACAAGCAGCTGCTGGTGTGACCTTGGGTCAGTCACAAGCAATGCTCCCTCTAAGCCAGCGGTTCTCAACCTGTGGGTCGCAACCCCTTTGGGGGTTGAACGACCCTTTCACAGGGGTCACCAAAGACTATCGGAAAACACAAATTTTCGATGGTCTTAGGATAGGGCTCCCAAGTCTCGCCAAGTCGCGATTCATAACAGTAGCAAAATTACAGTGATGAAGTAGCAACGAAAATAATGTTACGGTTGGGGGCAGAGGTCATTTCGGGGGGGATCGCAGGGGATCGTAGTTCCCCCGGGTGAGGGGCAGGGGGTGGGGCACACGACGAAGCCCCGCCCCTTCTTCCGGCTGCCCCCTTCTTCCAGCCTCATTCTGTTGCAGAAGGAGGAAGAAGCAGGAGGGTAAGTTGGCATCCTCCCCCTCTGCCTGGCCGAGGCCACTCCATGTGGCCTCCGCAAGGACTCCCAGCCCCATCCAGGAGCTTCCCCGAGGTAGCTGTGTTAGTCTGTTGCTGCAAAATAGTCCAAGAGTTCAAATAGCACCTTTAAGACTAACCTTTAAGACTAAGACTAACTGAGGTGGGTGTGGCCTTATGACACACTTCTGGTGATGTCAGGGGGTGTGGCATATGCTAATGAGTTATGCTAATGAGTTCCCCTAGCTCTTTTTCTACGAAACGACCCCTGGTTGGGGGTCACCACAACATGAGGAACTGTATTAAAGGGTTGCGGCATTGGGAAGGTTGAGAACCACTGCTCTAAGCTGTGGAGTCTTGTGAGCAAAACTTCTATTTTGTGAGCCACTGGCATTAAAGTTGTGAGCGAGCCATTTGGCTGTTGTATCAGTTAGTTTGCTCTGGAGCCCTCCTTTCTGAGCTGAGACAACAATGTGTGAGCCGGAGGCTAAAAAACAGTGAGCTAGCTCACACTAACTCAGCTTAGAGGGAACACTGGTCACAAGTTCTCTCAGAGCTGTTCTCCCCAGAGCAGTTCTCAAAAGAGCTCTCTCAGCCCCACCTACCTCACAGGCAGTCTGTGTTGGGGAGGGGAAGGGAAAGGAGATTGGAAGCCACCCCGAGAGTCCTTCAGGTAGTGAAGGACGGGGTATAAATCAAATCTCCTCCTCCACCACCACCTCCTCCTCCTCTTCTTCTTCCGACAACCCCTTATGAGGTTTTCAAGGCAAGAGAAGTGGAGAGGTGGGTGGCCATTGCCTACCTCAGCATAGCAGACCCGGATATCCTTGGTGGTTTCCCATCTGAGTACTAACCAGGGCTGACCCCGCTTAATTCCCATGACCTGGAGAGATCGAGCCAGCCAGAACCATCCAGATCTTTATATCTCTGCTCTTTGCAGGAGGGATCCAAGGAGATTGGGCCTAGCTAGAGCTACCAGCTCCGGGTTGGGAAATACCTGGACATTTGAGGGGTGGAGCCTAAGGAGGGCAAGATTTGGGGACGGGAGGGACTTCGGTGGGGTATAATGCCAGCGTCCACCCTCCGAAGCAGCCACTTTCTCCTGGGGAACTGATCTTGGTCGCCGGGAGAGCAGCCGTAATAGCAGGAGGTCTCCAGGTGCCACCTGGAGAATGGCAACAATAGGCCTAGGGGAAACAATGGGCCCAAGGTCATCCAGGGAGATTCTGTGGAAGAGAACCATCCAGATCCTAGTTCAAGGCTCTAACCACTACACCGCACTGGTTCGTTTCCAACATGATGTCTGAAGAGCCAATATCACAATGCCCCTATATAAATCAATGGTGAGACCTCATTTGGAATACTGTGTGCAGTTCTGGTCACCACAACTTAAAAAGGATATTATAGCTTTGGAAAAAGTGCAGAAAAGGGCAACTCGAATGATAAAAGGGTTGGAACACTTTCCCTATGAGGAAAGGTTAAGGCGCTTAGGGCTCTTTAGCTTGGAGAAAAGATGACTGAGCGGTGACATGATCGAGGTTTACAAGATTATGCATGGGAAAGAGCAGGTAGAGAAAGAGGTACTTTTCTCCCTTTCTCACAATACAAGAACTCGTGGGCACTCCATGAAATTGCTGAGTGGTCGGGTTAGAACGGATAAAAGGAAGTCCTTCTTCACCTAAAGAGTGATTAACACATGGAATTCACTGCCACAGGAAGTGGTGGTGGCTACAAGCATGGACAGCTTCAAAAGGGAATTAGATAGGCATATGGAGCAGAGGTCCATCAGTGGCTATTAGCCACAAGGTATAGATAGGGGCTCTGGGGCAAGTGATGCTCTGTCTTCTTGGTGCTTGGGGGGGGGGGTCAACAGTGGGAGGGCTTCTAATGTCCTGGCCCCACTGGTGGACCTCCTGATGACACCTGGTATTTCTGGCCACTGTGACAGAGTGTTGGACTGGATGGGCCTTTGGCCTGATCCAACATTGGCGTCTCTTATGTTCTTATGTTCTTAAGAGCTAGCCCTGACCTGGATAGCCCAGGCTACCCCGATCTCGTCAGTTTTCAGAAGCTAAGCAGGGTCGGCCCTGGCTAGTATTTGGATGGGTGACCTCCAAGGAATACCAGGGGCATGATGCAGAGGCCAGCAATGGCAAACCACCTCTAAAAGGTCCCTTGCCTTAAAAACAAAGTCTAGCTTGCCACCTAGTGGTGCATCTAAAAGAGCTAAAACTTCTGGCTGCCAGACAGTCTTAGGATCTCCTGGCTATACTACACACACACTGCCATACAATAATTATTAATTAGTATCTGAAGAGCTAGGGAACATTACAAAGTATGTTATCACAGCTCCTTCTCGCTGTTCCCATTTCAGGGAGGTGCCACAACTCACATGATGTCATATATTGGGCATCTATGTCCACACTGCTAAGGACAGTGAATGCTATCAAATTTAACAATTAAGGGGCAGTAAATACTGTCAAATTTAACAATAAGATGAAGAGAAGAGATTGGATTTTTACCCCGCCCTTCACTACCCAAAGGAGTCTCAGAGCGGCTTACAATCTCCTTCCCTTCCCCTCTTGACCACAGACACCCTGTGAGGTAGGTGGGGCTGAGAGAGCTCTTTCAAGAACTGCCCTTGAGAGAACAGCTCTGAAAGAGGAACTTTCTGGCACAGTTCCTGTAACCTCTGCATCAGAGGAGAGGATATTGCCCTTGCCTGCCTCTGCATTGCAATCACAGACTTTCTTTTTTTATTATTATATTCTCAGAAAAAAGGTAGACTACAGAAGAGAAAAGCGGATGGGGAAAACTATAACTTCATCAGGTTTGCCAAATATATGAATTGTTACGTACCACAAGATCAAATATATTACCAAATATATTACATATTAGAAGCAGAGATTAAAACAATACTACAAAATTTGGGGGTAGATTCTCTCTTTAAAGAATAAACAAGAACTTTCCGAAGGGCAGCAATAATCTATTAGCGATAACAGAAATTACATCTTTAACAACTGAATAAACTTCGATGCTAAAATAGAATCACTGTAAAATCCTTAACATTGTCTTAAATATTTATCCAAATCTAAATTTTATTCCTGCTAATTATTTAATTACTAGTGGAATACAGAATCAAGTATTATGACCCTGGACATTCTTGACGGTCTC